TTACAGTAAATCACTGCATTCTGCTATCGCGGCTTTAATGAGAACATAGGAGGATGAACAATGGGATCAGGATCATTTGTTTTCCAGTTTGCAACTCATAAAGTTATGGCTTAAGGAGAATGACATCATGAAAGTAAAAATAAAATGGATTATGGGATTGTTATTGTGCCATATGTGCTTACACTGAACAGCCTGTGTTCACTCTTCAGGATAGGGGAGGGGGATTGGGGAGAAGGAGCCATTTATATTTTATATTTTATGGCGTACCTGCATAGCCTTGCCGTCTTATGCACGTTGTATTTCTGAAAGTTGTCTGTCAGCAGAATATGATTACGGCGAAGTGCTAAAACATTAACACTCTCGATGTCTGCTTGCGGAAATATAACAGGAATTTTCTGTCCGTGTAATTCTGCCACTTTAAGGCTTTGAGAGTTGCTTTCCCTGAAACAAATTTTAAGAAAACCAGCCAAGTGACATTTGGCTTGCTGTGTGTCCACTAGCTGGCGTTCTATCTCGATATCAAATCGTTTACGGCGCATTGTCGTCGCCGGCCGGAAAATCCGATCGCGTTTAATCGGGGTCCAGCCCGGATCCATATTCCGAGACAAAGGCAATGAGTCGTGTGGCCCAGTTACTCAGAGCAGGAGGCCATGCAGCTGAAAAGGGTCTATTTGAGATCTATTTGAATCTGACATTTAAGGGAAATGCCACCGAACAGGTGAAGAGGAGAGCTGGCCTTTCTTTACATCCAGACATACATGCTTTGTCCAGCAGACCCCTCTTATAACCACTGTGTGCAGAGCAGAGCTGCAGGCAGAATAGGGGTGGGGGGGCGGTCACTCAGATTTTCTTCCCCGCACTATTCAGCAATCTGTAGTTAAACAGTCCGTGTGGGATACAACGCAATTGCTCGCACCGAAGACAATTAAAGTGCAAAATGGATCTTTTGTTATTTTCACTAAGCGCCACTGTGTATTATCTGACAATGCCAGACACTAAATATATCAGCAGAATCGTCTCTCACCATCTGAATTCATAACCTTGCCTACAGACGGGTAACCTAGTCCTGCTGGTGATAATTTGAAATCACCTAAGGAGTAGTTATTCAACTAAGCCCCCTTCCAGTTCTATCAACTCTTTAAAAGGTTTTTTTCCTTCCATCCTCCTTCTAATCTTGAGAAGATGCTATTTGAATTCGGATGTTTGGGACCCTCTTCCCACCCGGGAAGATTGCCATCTCATAAGCGGGCTGGACCCACACCATCACCTCACTGTTGTTTATTTGCCTTGTTTATCTGAATTTGGTCAAATTTAAAACTTCCATCTGATCCACGGTTCCCCTCTGCCTATCACTGAATCAGAAGTAGTTTCTTTCTTTTTTATATATAGATATATATTTTTTTCTCCCCTGGACGGAGAGATGACTTTGATGGACATGCACATCTATATAAGAAGGTGGGATCCACTCGTGTTTACGGTGGTGATGTATTTGGGGTATGTCCGCCCTTTTCTATGTGTCGACGGTAAGCAGAAACGCCTTCGCTGAGGTGAGCGTTCTCCACAGTAGCCCTGACTCCAGTGAAGATAATTTAGCTGCTGACTAAGGCCGTCCTTAATCTCCTAAACCTTGTGCTTTCAAGTGTTTGAAAAGGGTCATTTAAGTACACGCAAACGTTTGGCAACCTGGTGTTCACAAGTGCTCTAACTGTTAAATCTAATCTATCGCCATCACAAATTATAGTAGACTCACCCAATAGGCAACACCTTCTTCGTCTTGATGCAAAACGATGATGCAGACAACTTACTGTAAAGCTAGCAGTTTTTTTGTTTTTTTTTCTTTAACTCATCTCTCTGAATGACAGTGTGTTTTTGAGAAGACGTGTTGTATGCAGGAACACTCATTTGGTTAGGCCTCACCATTTTGAGCGCTAACGCTGCTGCTTATGCTGCGACAGCTACATATCCACTGTGGATTGCCAGGTGACATTTCATTTCCATTCCACTTTTACCGTGTCATTTTGAACACGTGTAATTATGCAGAGAGGACATGTATGGCAGTTATTTATTTATTAGAAGCCATTTCTAATCAGAGAGCAGAATACCGGTGTTTGTCATTCAAATACGTTCCTTCTGGTGCGTTGAATTGGTAACTCAGATAAAACTAATGCAGAGTTGAGCTTTTCCTTAAAATGATGTTAAGAGGCTAAGAGGCTCCTTTAGTAATATGTCGCTTGGCTCAAATGTAGCATTGTAGTAGCCGGGAATCTTTGCAACCTTACAAATAGAGAATCGGTTAACAGTACCTTCAAATTTTTTTATATATATATAAAATTATAACAATATCCTTTTGTGAAACATCTATGCAGTAAATGAAATGTGTGGTTTGTAGGGGCTGTGTGTGGCTCAGTCGGTTAGGACACTGTGTCAGTGAACCAGAGGTCACTGGTTCATGTCCTGTGGTTGGAAGAGTAATTTTACCATCGGGCGTTCGAACAAGGTCCTTAACTGCCAGTGGCTTCTGGGATTGTCTGACTCTGCTTTCTCAATTGTGCATCACCTTGGCTATATAAATAAAATGTTTGTAATGAAGAGTTAAGAGATGCAGTTAGTGTGTCATCCCAAAAAGAAACATAAAGTGGAAGTGTGTTGGGCTCGCTGAAAAACACCAAAATGCTCTTTCAGTTTCACTGGGAAAAAAGTGGCAGATTATTAGGTTGAGTTCAGACCAGTTTTGACCCACTTGCCAGAAAAGTACTATGTTGTACATGAATCATGGCATTCTAAAAGTACAATAACAGAGGGTATTCTTCACACAAAGCTCTCCATGTTTACAAAGATAATTTAGTTTCCTTCCAACAATTATGAGGAAAATTGAATCTCAGGAAATGTTCGTTTTCTTATCCATTAGACTGAACAATAGCAATATCCTTGAAACAAAAAAAATAAGAAACAAATGTCTTCAGAGGACAAACCTTTTTTTTTGGAGATCGAAGAGGCAAAGTAAGTTAAGTTTTGGCAGTTTTGTTCTTCTTGTGTTTATGTCCATTGCAGCTATTCAGATGTATTAAAGTGCTTCCTTTGTCTTGTGAGCTAGTTTTAGTGCTTTCATTTTCCTCAGGTAACATAATTGAAGGATGACTTTGCAAAATCAACACCATGTGTCAGTTTAGCTTTGCATAGTTCATTTCCATCTATTGCTCATCACAGGATCAGTATGTTAGAATAGCAAAAGCTGTGGTCTCTCTCTCTCTCTGTAATCTTTTTAGTGCATATCCAAGGGTTCAGGTTACTACAGACTTTGCTTGCTACTTTTAAAAGTGCCATGTTTTCTTTTACTGTGAATAGCTAAAAGTCTACATTTTGCACTGTAATATGCTGAGATACTTCATATTGGAGCACAGAGAGAGGAAATCAGATATACAGGTAATATCGTTTTATTAAAGGTATATTTCAAAACCTAATAGGCTGTTTTCTGTAAACAGTATTTGTTAGAGGCCAAGGAGCCGGTCCAGTTGAAGGCTTTACATTATTTGTTGAAGTTTGCAATGATTTAAAGTCATTATTTTTTAGGTTTAAGAATAAAATTAAGTTCCTTTTCATCTCTGAAACACAATTCTTCTAGTTTTCCTTTGCTTAGAATGGTAAAAAAAAATGTAAAAAGGACTGAATTAAAGCTCTCTCTCAAGGTAAAAAATGTATCAATCTACTGGACATTTTGATCTCTGGCATAAAATGTCTAGGTTATGGTCATGTAAAAGAGACGCATTTCTCCTTGTAGCCAAATTGTTTCTTTCATCTATGATACAATGGCACAGAGTGGGGGAGTATTTTGTAATTTTTTTGTACCTCAGTGTAGAAGACAATGGCAGCATTTGTTTGGGTAGCTCTGAGGGTGGACTGTTTACAGAACCATATTGCACTAGAAAGCTTTCTGTCAATAATAAAAATGCAAAAACTTTACAGTATGTTCATCACTAACAGCCCTTTCTGTAACATGTATAAATTGTAATGTTATCTGATAGTAATGTTTTCTCAGCTGCTGAAATACCCCCCCCCCAAACCCCTGATTTTTCAACTTTCTGCTAAAAGTATTTGTTTGGCAAGATAAATGGCCGCGCCGGTAAGCAAGATGACAGCCTACACGAAGATGACATGGAATTGATTTCTGAAATGTAACTGAACAGACTGCTTGATATATACAGCAAGACATGAATCATAAAAATTCTATTAAAAACCTCTTGAATGGCTGACACCGGAATATTATTTGTGATGATTAATTTGACTCCATGATTATGAACGGAGTGAAATCAGATTGCCTCTAACAAAATTGCTTTTCATTCCCGGGTGAATAGCGCCAGTTTTAGGAGCAAAGAATTGTGCATCCCCACAACACCTCTTTTCAGGTTTCAGCAGTAATGGCGGAATGCGTACATGTCAGTGATGCCTTTAAGAGAATGTCCTAATAAGAGCCGTGGTCTATAAACAAAGCAGAGTGTGTTGTTTGCCTTAGTACTGTGTGAATTAGGTTATCCACTCTTGTTTTGTTTAAGCTGGACCTGCCCTCAAACTTGTGTATGAAATCATTGTAAATGCCCAAGAAAAAAGGTGTATTTTTGCTCCCTTGGGTGCGTAAATGAGGCAGATTGGAGCAGTGGATCCTGAAGTGGATCCTTACTGTTGTCACGAGTTTCTTGGCAACACCCCCCCCCCCCCCCCGTGAGAAGAGATCCAGACCTAAGTGATGCATGCATCACCGAATGCCTGGAGGGTAGCTGTTAAATAAATATATTTGGATTTTGCAATAGCGAAACAATAAAGTGTATGGGGATTTACAGCAGCTCTGCACGTGTGTGCAGTGATTTGAGAAGTAAGAAAGAGGGAAGCTTCTATGTTTGGAGGTAGTGTGGCGACCTGGGGGGGGGGGGGGGGGGGACACACACAAAGCATAGTCTCCTTAATCGAAGTGCGGAATGACACGGCCATTGCTTTCACTCTTGCAGAACTTCTCCGGTCAGGGTGGAGGCAGCGGAAGCGGCGGGGGCGACGAAGACTACGAGATCCCCCCCATCACACCTCCCAATCACCCCGACCCGTCTCTGCTCCACCTAATGGACCCCGAGTCCAGTTATCTGTGCCACTCCTTGCCTCCTAATGGCCTGATCAATCCATACACCTACCCAGAGCTGCCCGCCATCATGATGTCCAACATGCTGGGACAAGACGGACATCTGCTTTCCAGCCAGATGCACTCTGTAAGTCATTCCGTCTCTCCCTACTGGGTTCATGTGCCTACAGCCGGTTCAGATGAGCCGTCCTTGGCCATCGGATTCGTGCGCTAATGTGGCATCTTGCGGAAACCTCCCACTGGGCCTTAAAAGCTCCCAGTGCATTCTGGGAATGTAATATGATAAGAGCGGCTGAAACCGTATGTGATGAGGGCGGGCATTGTTTCCAAAAGTGTGTTTACAGCATCGGTGTAGCTGCTGAGCTCACCAGCTGCATCACCTAATTAAAGAAAAACAACTCCACTCTTCGTATCTAAAATTATATCCGCAACCACATACATAAGTCATTTGTTTTGCCTTTTTTAGGTAGATTGAATGTAACATAATAATAATAAATTTGTTTATAAGCACCATTTAAGAGATTCAAGGGTACAATAATAAGGGCATTAGAAACAATAAAATAAAAAGCGTACACTTGAATACACACTTGCATTAGTGCATTTTAAAACTGTTGTACAGTGCTTGTTTTCTGGCAGATGATAAATAACATTACTGAGATTATTCAGAAATATTTGGAAAGGTCAAGCCATCCGCATCATCATGAGCTAAATCTCAGTTGCAGCTATATTACTTGCACCTGAACTTCATGTGAACCGAAATGCTTTTGTTGTTTTAGCTTTACTATTATGCATCTATTGTTTCATTAATTCTATACTGTTACCGGTGCTTTGTATTGGGTTCTGCCTGACGAGTAAGGATTCTAGTGCGCTTGTCGCTTATGGCCAGTAAAGCATTTTGAGTCTTGAGCGTCTTAGGAAGTACACATAGTTTTAAGGGGGCGTGAGTAAAGTTGCTTTTGAAGAGCTGGTCAACATGCAGCTGAGAAGAACGGGATGAAGAATGCTGGGCTTCTTCACGTCTGTGGGATCCCCCTGTGAGCTGCCAGAACACCAGCATTGTCTACTTCCATCACGTTACCAGTGTACAGAAAATGCTGGGATTGAGGTATCTTTTGGTAGATAGACAGTTAAGGATGCTAAATTATCCCCAGAGAAAAATGGGTGTAGCCATGACACCTGCTGTAAGAAGGTCGCAGTGCATGTTTCTAGCTCACATCAGCAGGCTGCATTTGCCCATCAGGTAACAGCGGCCTGCTACGTGGAGCTCTTCTTGGAGAAGAAGAACAGAAGGTTATTAGGCTCTGTCAGGATTTTCAGCCTCAGAATAGATCCCATTGCTCACAATCAATACTTGACCATGCAAATTATTTCTGTTGCTGTCCTTCAGTAGCTGCTGTTGAGTATTTTATTTTATTGTGTATTGCAATACAGTAGCTTGTTCTTTTGAATAAATCTATGTTAGGACAGATAACAGATAATGAAATTAAATTTAATTAAGTTATATTTTAAGTAGTTTAATTTGAGGAATAAGTTTAACACAGTTCTATATTGCTAAATAAAGCAAATAGCTACATCTCTTGCAGTTGCCTAAGTGTAACAGGCAGTTTCCATATAATTCATGAGCTCCAGAAATGTCTACATGGAAGATTTGACTGATTAGCATTAGCGTACCGTAGTGTAAAGGTAGGATTCACGAGCACTTTGTAATTCTTGAGTGTAGGTAAAAGTGAAATATTAGGAAAAAAAAGTGGTTTAGTTCACCATTGGATTGCTTCCTAAAATTGATGGTGGCTGTTTATGGCATTCCTGTTTAGGGCACTGGAAAATTCTTCTGCTCATGCTGCACTTATAACAATGTCTGCTGGTCAGAGAGCATATATTCAGTCTTGAGCACGTGCATTCTGCTCACAGGAAAATGGAGTGCAAGAAATGTTTTAATGGGGCTGGAAATCCATTAAACATCATCCTCCCTGCATAAGACAGTCTTCTCTTGACAGCCTGGGAAATGAGGTGTTTTGCCAGGGCAGTGCTGCAGTGAGGGCCTGTTTTCATCAATTCAGATTCATCACAGGAGCTGTAAATGGATTACAGCATGCTGAATGCTGTGGCAGGGATAAAAATAAAATAAAAATATCTTTGGGGGGAGGGGGGGTTCTTATCACTTTCACTTCTCAGTGAAAAGGATTACGGATTTCATTTTACATATATCTAGATAAGACGGATGACGTGTTTGATGTGATTGCAGGCAGGTGAAATACTGTATATGACCAGATGATAGCTCTCTAAGTGCACCCTGTGTCTGCAGAGGCTTCACTGCGGCGTGGTCCTAAGTTCAGGCTCAGTCTGTGCCCAGTCACTGGCAGAACATAGACTGACGAAATGGTCAGAGGCAGAGAAATCAGACTCCTGTCCTGTCTAGACTCCTGTCTAATTGGTCCTAAAACCACTGAAACTTTTATACACAAAACACATTTTCAAAAAGGCTGTCAGTCCAGGTTGACAGCCGTAGGGAGTGTGAAAAATGCACAGGGTGATGTTTAACACTAATGCTGGAAGTGTTGATGCACAAAAAAACGGTTGCTTCTTGGATTGGGTAAATATGCACCTGATCTTGAACACAAGCAAAACATCATACTTCTAATAGAAAGGAAGCTGACTAGCCTTGTGAAACATCAAGCATTTCTTAGAAAGGGCCAGAGGATGGCGCTGTTGTGAAATACCTTCTAATGAAAAAGGGGCAAATCTCACTTACTGTATACCACTCCGAGGCCTTAAGGGCAGAGGCCTTTGTTGATCATTTTTCTTTTGTTTTTGCAATTATACTGAAATATATCCCTAGAAAAAAAGGGAGAGGTGTTTACTGTTGTCAAGTAAAGCCATTTTAAGAATTCCTTTTCCAGCTATGATAATTCCTTTTTGTTCCAGTCCAGAAATGTTTGCTTCTGTGAGTTAGTTTTCCAGGCCGTTAGGGTCCTATCGTGGTCAGGGTCGTCTGGGAGCAGTTTGACACATTGCCTTAAATGGGACTAATATCTACTCTGCTAAAATCATCATGACATATCCTCTCCCTGCTAAAACTATTACAGCATGTCCTGGAGACTGTAAACTCATTATCTCTTTAATATCATGTACGGAAGACTGACGCGCTCAATAGGCGCATGTGTTTGTCTTAGGTTTATAACGGTCCATATTTTTAAGGCCTTGTTAACATCTTCCATCTGCTGAGACAAATTTCCACGTAATTTATCACATTAAAATATTCGAAAGAGCAGAGAGATACATTCAATAAATACTTTCACTTATTGCCTAATAGACAAGGCTTCTAATCTCCTGAAGAGGAAACCCACCGGAGTGATTAAAAACAGCTCTCTGCTGGAACCTGTTTTTATAATAATTGCCAAAAACCACATTCCTAAGCTTAGTGATTATTTCATGTGATATGAAAATGTGTAATAGAGCGAATACAGACACCGCGGGCATTCACACAGTAATCCTTTAATCACAGAATTGACCAAAATAAATAATAGATTTTGGTGTAAATGATTTAATGTTACGTACATTCATTTAATTTTAATGTTACTTTGTATTATAAATATTCATGCATGTATATGTTCACGCATGACTGAAATGCATAGCTACAATATTGAGAGGGAAAAGTACGGTAATAAGTACAGTTATAAGGGGGATTTAACGACGTAATTGAGGGAGAAACGTACAGTAATAAAGCATTATAAGGGGGTTATAAGAACAAAATTGAGGGGGAAACGTAAAGTAATAAAGTGTTATAAGGGGGTCACTCTCCTTTTGCAGTGTGCAAGCACTGCATCACCGGCATGAAATTAATGCACACGCTAATTAGGGTACAGTAGAGGCAAACTGGAATTGCCTTTCACAACAATTCTCTGTCCATCTGCTTAGTGCTGAAATCAGAAAAGAGCGGCCGCCACACAGCTGATAAATTTTACTGTAGCCATGACTTGGACACCAAACTGTTCTATAAAACATGCAGCATTTTTAATTTCATTTCCAAAAAAGGGGACGTTGGTAACACTGCTGGGTGTCACTCAAGGCAGCTTATAACTTGGCCGTGGAGATATGGCCTTCAGCGCCTTCATATATAAATACAGAATCCGATCCACTATCCAGTGGACAAGCATGACATTTTCAGCACCATTATCCTTTGCATATTCTCAGCTAATCAGCCGTCTACAGCGGAGCAATATAATGGGGTGGGATTTTTAAACTTTGTAAAAAAGAAAAAAAAAAGAAAGCTCACGTTATGCTTTTTTCCCCTTCTCCATCCTTATTGCTTAACTTTTTTTATTTTGATATTGCTATTTTAATTAATTTATTCATTATTTTTTTGGTGCTTTGGAGAGCATTATTGGAAAGTCCGCAGAAACATAGGTGTGGCTATCTGTGTGTATGTGTGTGTGTCTGTGTGTGTGTGTGTGTGTGTGTGTGTGTGTGTGTGGGTCATGTACAGTATGCATTCCATTGTGGGGACTAAATCTGTTTTCATTCTATAGTACATCTTCATGCACCAACACTGAACACACCTTGCAGCACTGCTAAAATACAGCAAGTATGCAGGTGATTTAGTAGCTGACAAAAGTTGCTTAGGCTCTGATGCTAAACCTTGAAGCTTAAACAGAAAGACTCCGTGGATATATGCTGCATTAAAAATCGAGTCATTATTAAAGTGAAAATTATGATATTCTATGAAACCTCTACACTGGAGGGGAAATACAGTGAATTAGCATGAACACCGTTATTTCGCAAGGAAGTGTGTTGTACCATAGAAAGGCAAAATCTATAACCAGAGCATCAATGCCTTGATTACAAAGCAATTTCTACCATGTATATGATCTCTCTGCTGCTGTTGTGGATAAGCCTGTGCAGGGTCTTTGGACATTGGATACATTTGTTCACATATTGTTTTCTAATGGAAAATAAAAACAAGGTGAATAGTGTTTTTTTATTATTATTTTTTATTATTACTAGAAATTCCGTGTATGGGGGCGCTGTGCTTATATTACAGCTTCACAGAGGGTGAAGGAAAATTCAGCTTTTTCTCCCTCCTCGTGTAATAGGCCAATATAATCTCAGTGAAAAAGAAGCCTGGTT